GACCCAAATTTTAACCCACAAACCTATGAACACCTCATTTTTGATAAAGGAGCCAAAAGTATACAATGGAAGAAAGAAAGCATCTTCAACAAATGGTGCTGGCATAACTGGATGTCAACCTGTAGAAGAATGAAAATAGACCCATATCTATCACCATGCACAAAACTCAAGTCCAAATGGATTAAAGACCTCACTATCAGTCAGAACACATTGAACCTGATAGAAGAGAAAGTGGGAAGTACCCTACAGGAGATGGGCACAGGAGATCGCTTCCCAACAGCACAGACATTAAGGGCAACATTGAATAAATGGGACCTACTAAAACTGAGAAGCTTCTGTAAAGCAAAGGACAATGTCACCAAGACAAATAGGCAACCTACTGACTGGGAGAAGATCTTCACCAACCCCGCAACTGACAAAGGTCTGATCTCCAAAATATATAGAGAACTCAGGAAACTAGACTTTAAAATGCTAATTAGCCCAATTAAAAAATGGGGCACTGAACTGAACAGAGAATTCTCAGCAGAGGAAGTTCAAATGGCCAAAAGACACTTAAGGTCATGCTCAACCTCCTTAGCGATCAGGGAAATGCAAATCAAAACAACTTTGAGATATCATCTTACACCTGTCAGAATGGCTAAAATAAAAAACTCCAATGATAGCCTTTGCTGGAGAGGCTGTGGAGGAAGGAGTACCCTCATCCATTGCTGGTGGGAATGCAATCTTGTGCAACCACTTTGGAAATCGGTGTTTCAGTTTCTCAGGAAATTCGGGATCAACCTACCCCTGGACCCAGCAATACCACTCCTGGGAATATACCCAAGAGATGCCCTATCATATGACAAGAGCATTTGTTCAACTATGTTCATAGCAGTATTATTTGTAATAGCCAGAACCTGGAAACAACCTAGATGCCCTTCAATGGAAGAATGGATGAAGAAAGTGTGGAATATCTACACATTAGAGTACTACGCTTCGGTAAAAAACAATGACTTCTCAAATTTTGCATGCAAATGGATGGAAATAGAAAACACTATCCTGAGTGAGGTAACCCAGACCCAAAAAGATGAATATGGGATGTACTCACTCATAATTGGTTTCTAGCCATAAACAAGGGTCACGGGTCTACAATTGGTGATCCCAAAGAAGCTAAGTAAGAAGGTGAACCAAAGGAAAAACATATAGTTGTCCTTTTGGCTATGGGAAGTAGACAAAATTGCCGGGGAGAAAATTGAGATCTTGGGGGTGGGGTGGGATGGGGGTAAGGGGAGATGGGGAGAGAAAAGGGAGAAGGGGAGAATGGGGGAACTTGGGGAAAAAGGAGGATTGGGATAAAGGAAGGTTGGATAGGGGAGCACGGAAGCACAATTCTTAGTTAAGGGAGCCACCTTAGGGTTGGCAAGAGACTTGAACCTAGAGTGGCTCCCAGGAGCCCAAGCCGAGGTCCCCAGTTAGTTCCTTGGGCAGCTGAGGATAGGGAACCTGAAATGACCCTATCCTTGAGCAATACTGACGAATATCTTGCATATCATCATAGAACCTTCATCTGGTGATGGATGGAGACAGACACAGAGACCCACACTGGAGCACTGGACTGACCTCCCAAGGTCCCAATGAGGAGCAGAAGGAGGGAGAACATGAGCAAAGAAGTCGGGACCACGAGGGGAGCACCCACCCACTGAGACAGTGGAGCTGAACTATTGGGAGCTCACCAAGGCCAGCTGGACTGTGACTGAAAAAGCATGGGATAAAACTGGACTCTCTGAGCATGGCGAACAATGAGGGCTGATGAGAACCCAAGGACAATGGCACGGGGTTTTGAACCTACGTAATGTGCTGGCTTTGTGGGAGCCTAGCCAGTTTGGATGTTCACCTTCCTAGAAATGGACGGAGGGGGGAGGACCTAGGACTTACCACAGGGCAGGGAACCCTGACTGCTTATTGGACTGGAGAGGGAGGGGGAGAGAAGTGGGGGGAGGGGGAGAAGGGTGGGAGGAGGGGGAGGGAAATGGGAGGCTGGGAGGAGGAGGAAACTTGTTTTTTTTTTTTTCCTCCTTTTCTCAATAAAAAAAAAGTTAAAAAAAAAAAGATCAAATGGCAGTCCTTGGGAGATGCTTCATAGGTCTGGCTTTCAGTCATTCTCAAGTTCCAGCCATGGGACCAAAATTAGTTTCTGTGCCACGTAGCACAGGGTCACCGATTTCATGTCATGGCTTAGGAAAACACTGGCTGGATTCTGGTTTCTGTGTAATAAGCCTTACCTTGAGCATACAAGCAAAAGGGGAAAAGAATAGCAAAAAGGGGAAGAGGAAGCGCTTTTGTCGTTTTGAAGATAACAGACTGAAGGCAAAAGAACAGAGAGCTTCAGAAAGCTCAAGGACTGCACTGCTGCCTGACCGCTGACTTGTATGCACTATAAAACAACTCTATAGATAAAAAGGAAATATATATATGTCTTAGTCATAACCCCATCCAAACCAAGTATCTCTTAATTCTTCTTTCAGTGTCCAAAGTATACCTTAGCATTGACAATTTACCCTAAGGGTCACAACTGCTCTTAAGGACGGAGCTAGGTGTCCTCTCGTCCTCTCTGAGGCAGAGCAGTACACCACAGCACAAGGTATCCAATTTAAGGACTAATTGTAAAGAAAATTCTTTGGGAAAAAAATTGAAAATGCATTAAGCTGAAAATCTAAAGTTGGTTCTACCTTCTAATAAAAAAATACATAAAAGTGCATCATCAGAATAAGGAGTTCTTACGCTAGTTTGTGTTGCAAATTTTCCAAATGCACACATAAAGCCAATCTGGATGTCAATTATGGATATGAACATAGTTTGAGGGCTTTGGGTTTTGTTTCGTTTTGTTTTTTGGTTTTTCGAGACAGGGTTTCCCTGTAGCTTTGGAGCCTGTCCTGGAACTAGCTCTAGAACAGGCTGGCCTCGAACTCACAAAGATCCGCTTGCCTCTGTCTCCTGAATGCTGGGATTAAAGGCGTGCACCACCACCGCCCAGCTTTTTTTTTTTTCTTCTTCTTAAGGCAGTAATTTTTCTGAAATAGTTAATGCAACTGTTGCTAACACAATAATAATAGTACTCCTGGCTTCGCATACTAACCTGGACTTCTGACCAAGTGCTGATGAGCACAGTAAGGGAGGTCATCAAAAACCTAACTCCACTGTCAGTCATGTCTGGTCTTGTACCCTCCTTTCTTCTTAAGAACTATTGTGAAGATACAAAGAAATACTCTCATGCCTCCATGAGCACCAAATGGCTGCTCTGTTGCTGCTGCATCGCCAGCAGAGGGAGCCCTTGCTGCAAACCTAAGGCTGCCTCTACTGACTTGAAGGTGGCCAACTGCCTTGGAAGGAGGGAACAGACAAAAAAAAAAAAACCAGAATAGAAGGGATCAAGTTTCAGGTAGGTTGGATTTACATTGTGCTGGGAATCAGGAATCTTTTCCCCCTTTCTTCTCTTTATATTATTTTTTTTTTCATTTTTACGTTTTTTTATTTACTTATTTTATGTAAAAAAATGAGTGTTTTGTGTTTATGTATGCTTGTGTGCCCAATGTGTGCCCGGTGCCCTCAAAGACCAGAAGAGGGTGTGGGAAACCCTGACTAGAGTTACAGACAGCTGTTAGATACCATGTAGGTGCTGGGAATTTAACTTGGGCCCCCAAGAAGAATAGCCAGGGTTCTTAATTACTGAGCCCTCTCTCCAGCCCTGGCATCTGTTTCTTGAAAGATGATGTTAGTTGCAAAGGGATAGTGTTAAGTTACAGTTATTTTAAAATAGTGTGTGTAAATGAGTGTGTGTATTACATAATTTACACACATATAATAGTGTGCATACGTGTGAATATATACTACACACACATATATAACTAATATAGTTTTTAAAAAGCCCTTACAAGCAACAACACAATGAAAAGCCTTCCATGCTGACACAGTGATCGCCTTCCCTCTCTCCCTCTCTTTCCTTCTTTTCTAAGGATATGAGCTGATCAGACAACCACATATAAAATACCAGGACACTCTGGTGATAGCTCTACATTACTCAAAATAGGACTGTCTCTGGTGTGTCCTCTTGCAGTGACGTCAACCCATCAGGAAGGAAAGGCTGAAAATGAAACTACCTACGACAGAGCAAAGACGCTTAGTAGTGCTTTAGCCAACTAGGAAGATGCCGTAAGAGGAGGCTGTGGTAACTTTGTTTCAAAATACGACTGTGGTTATTGCATAGAGTAAGCTGTTAAAGAAGCAGAGAGAAGGCGATGAGGCCTGCAGTCATCTAGGCAAGAGGGAGGACACAGATGAGAGCGGCAGATGACACAGAAATAGAATAACAAATCGGTGTATCCGCGGGTAGAGACGCACCAATTCTGAACCCTCAAGGGAATTCTGGATGTATATGTCTATTGTGTGCTGTCCTTGCCTTAAGTTCTGAAGCCGAGACACTGAGGAAAAAAATAAATGGGCAGGAGAGGTGGCCCAGTGGTTAAGAGCTTCGGCTGCTCTTCCAGAGGACCCAGTTCAATTCCCAACACCCATATGGCAGCTCACAACTGCCTGTAACTTCATTTCCGGGGATCTAACACCCTTACACAGACAGGCATGTAGGCAAAACACAAATGCATATACAATAAAAATAAATAATAAAAAATAAAAGCCAGGGCTGGAGAGATGGCTCAGAGGTTAAGAACACTGGCTGTTCTTCCAGAGGTCCCGAGTTCAATTCCCAGCAACCACATAATGGCTCATAACCATCTGTAATGAGGTCTGGTGCCCTCTTCTGGCATAGAGGTGTACATGCAGGAGGAACATTGTATACATAATAAAATAAATCTTAAAAAAAAAAAATAAAACCCAGTAAGGGCTAAAACCACTTTATGGTAAAAACAAGAAAAGCGAGATTAGTAAGGACTTGGTAGGAGACTAGAAGCTCGTAAGTCAGCTTTAACTTCTGATTTCACTGTATAGTAGGCTTCAAGAGAAAAGATTTATTCAGTATCACATGAAAGGTTGTGTATGCCAGCCTCTGTGTTTCTTTGTGAAAACATTTCCTTAGTGTTTTCGTCTTTTTGAATGCCACAAAATGTCACATTCATTGTGTTTCTAGGTCATTCTTCTAATGAGATGCTTGACAGGTATGCTAACACCTTTTCTTCTAGAGGTTCCCCAAGTAAAGGCTCTGGGGGAGTCTTGGCTTCTAGAGAGTCATTCGAGAACCACTCATCGGCTGCTTCCACGCTTTGGCTATAGTAAGAACTAGGGAAAGACGTTGACAAGCTCACTGTCACACTGTTGCTGTTTTCTACTGAGAGCATGTCAGGGGACTCTCGGTCCACCAGGTCCGGAAGACAGAGTTCATCTTTAGAGTTGACTGCTGTTAAGAAAAAAAAAAGTCTACTGTGAATATTACATATTGACAAGTCTTCTGTTTCTTTGAGACAGGGTTTCTTTGTGTAGCCCTGCCTGTCCCAGAACTAGCTCTGTACACCAGACTGACCTCGAACTCAGAGATTGCCTCTGCCTCTCGGGATCTGGGATTAAAGGTGTGGACCACAATGTGTGACTTTTTCAGAATTACTATGCATTTGTCTGTTTATCTATTTACTTATTTATTTTGCTTTTTTTGAGACAAGGCGTCCCTGTGTAGATCTGGCTTTCCTGGAACTAGTCTGTAGACCAAGCTGGTCTCAAACTCAGAGGTCTACTTGCCTCTGCCTCTTCTAGTACTGGGATTATAGGTATGTGCCGCCATGCCCAACGGATAAGCCAAGTCTTAATTAAGAGTCTTTTTAGGGCTACCATGGGTAAGACAATGCTGGAAGGGAAAACACCAAATCACTATCATCTTTACAATTTTAAATATATGGTATTTAAATATTCTAGTCCAGGAACATATTCTAATTAGGTTGGAAATCTCAGTTCTTCAATATACTTTTAAAAGTTTCTTGAAGCTGAGTGGTGGTGGCACAAGCTTTTAATCCCAGCATTTGGGAGGCAGAAGCAGGTGGATCTCCAAGTCTGAGGCCAGCCTGGTCTACAGAGTGGGTTCCAGAACAGCCAGCGCAGTTACACAGAGAAACCCTGTCATGAAAAACCAAAAAAAAAAAAAAAAAGAAAGAAAGAAAGAAAGAAAAGAAAAAAGTTTCTTATACCACTGTAGAAAACCAGAGCTGTGGAGCGCAGGCCCAGTGGATACATCTATAAAACTTCAGAAGACCCAAGGCTCAGGGAACACTGTGGGAAAGGGAATGGAAAGATTGCCAAAACCAGAGGAAAGCCCCACAAGGCCTCAACCCTACCAAAGAACTATTGGAAATTGAGAAAAGCTGGGAGAGGCAGCAAGGGCTTTCCCAAGGAAGAGCACACATTGGTTGTCCCAATATCAAATGGTCAGCCCTGGAAACATACATACAAGTAATGTTAGAGGGACTGAACAGGCTGTATTTAGGACTATATATGCACACACACACACACACACACACACACACACACACACAAATATTTGCTTGCAATAACAAAGAAAAAAGAGGTCATGAATTTGAAGGAAATTGAGGAGAGGTATACAGGAGAATTTGGAGAGAGGAAAGGGAAGGGAGAAATATAACTATGGCGCAGTGGCTAAGAGCACCCCTTGCTCTTGTAGAGGTCCCAAGTCTGTTCGCCGCCACTCTTGTTATGTGGCTTACCCCCACCTGCAACTCCAGCTCTAGGGCATTTAACACCTTCTGGACTCCTTGGGCAACTGAACTTACTCACATCCCCCTCCCTCTCCCCATTAATTTTTTTTTGGAGAAAGGGTCTCTCTATGTGTTTTGGGGTGACACTGGGCTTTAACTACGTAGACCATTGTGACCTCTAACTCAGAGAGATCATCTTGTCTTCCTCCCAGGGTAGCTAGGATTAAAGGCATGTGCCACAAGCCTGGCTTATTTATTTATTTATTTTTTAACTTTTATTGATTCTTTGTGGATTTCACCCCGTGCCTTCTGATCCCACTCATCTCCCTGTCCCCTCACATTTGCTCTCTGTCCTTGCAACCTCCCCAACCCAAGAACACTAAATTTAAAAGAAAAACCCCAAACCAAACAAAACTAAGTAACAAAAACAAAAACAAACAAGAAGAACAATCTTGTCATGGAAGCTATAACATGGCCAGTTGAAGCACAGTTACTCTAGTCCATTCATCTTTTCTTGTAAGTATTCATTGCCACGAGTCATCATTCTGGCTCGAGGCCTCTGGTTTCTGCTATACCACCTATAATGGGCTCTTACTGGGGCTCCTCTCGGATAGCCTGTTGTCCTGTGTCATGGAAATCCTGCTGTTTTGGATTTGTAGGTCTGTCCCTTTCACATGCTCTGACAGTTCCTGGATTTCGGTGGATGCTGGGGGTAAGCCAACCCATAGCCCTGGGCCTAGGTGGTAGCTGGGTTGGTCAGCCTGCCAGCTTTTTCTCTTGTCACTACCCAAATGAGCTCTCCAGCACTGCCCAGGCTGGCTCACCCAAGGCAGCCTACAGTAAGGAGCTGGCCCAGTTCTGTTGCTCTTGGGCCCTCAGATCGGGGTCCCCCACATTCACATCACCAGGGCCAGACTACTGTTTTGCCCAGGCAAGGTGCAGGGCCCTCTCTCCAGATTGCTGTAGGGAGCATATGAGGGAGGGGTGGGGTCACCTCTAATGCCCTCAGGGCTGGCTCACCTGCAACAGAATCAGCTCTAATGTGGTGTCCAGGCAGGGTGCAGGGCCTGCTCTCCTGGGTGCTAGTTCTCTCACTCCCGTGACCGAAGGGCCAGCTCTCTCATGAGAGCCACAGGGAACAAGGGTCAGAGGGAGGAGGACATCTTCCCCTCATCCATGCCACTGCATGGAGGGATGGGATCAGCTCCCCAGTTCTCACCTGTGTCCCCAGCAACAGGGCTAGCACTAGCGTGCTGCCCAGACAGGAAGCAGAGGCTTCTTTCTCGTGCACTGCAACCAAGTGAGGGGCAGGGCTAGCACTCTGACTCCTGTGACCCCAGGACCAGCTCTCTCACCTGCCGTGGGTGGCAGTGGGTGGGTGGGTGGGGAGGGCATCTCTCCCTCACCCTTGTCACCACATGGCAGACGGGGTGGGGTGGGGTCAGCTCTCCTGATCTCCTGCCCTCAGAGTTGACTCATCTGTGTCCCCGACCGAAGGGTCTGCTCTAGTGTGCTTCCCTCTAGTGAGGTGCAGGCCTACAGTGAGGGGCGGGGCCATCTTTCCCAGTGCAGGTGCGAGCTCTTTCCTGAGGGGTTAGCCTAGCTCTCCTGCGGCAGTATCCTGTGGAGGTCAGAGGTCAGAACCAGCCGTCCCAGGACCAGGGAAGGGCAGGGCTGGCTCAGCACACGTGTCCTATGACTCCGTTACAACACCGGCCATGAATATTACCACAGACCCAGACATGGCCTTGGGCAGCAGCTTGGGTCCAGATGCCATCATGACCTCGGTGGCAGCACGCTCTCCTCCCCCAGCAGCAGCATGGTCACTGGGCATTAACATGGTACCAGGTGGCTGGCCAGACTCCAGGCATTCACAGAGTCCTTGGTGTCAACTGGAGCCCTGGACACCACCTCAGGACCCAGACATGGCCCTAGGCAGTGGCCCATGCCGGATGTCTCCATGGCTCCAGGTAAAAAAAATTTTCACAGTTAAACATTTTTTTTTAATGATTTTTAGTTGAATATTACATTATTTTTAAAAAATTGACGAGCAAGATCATAAACAAACAACAACAACAACAACAACAACAACAACAACAAAGCATTTGGTCCACAGAGAGTAGTAAGAGCCCAAGCACAAGATGGTTTTCTGCCAATAACAGTAGAAGGCATTTTTTAATTAATTAATTATGAGACAGAGTCTCTCTACATAGCTGTGACTGTCCTGAATCTCACTGTATAAACCAGGCTGGCCTTGAACTGACAGAGATCCTCCTGTCTTTGCCTCCTGAGACCTGGTATTAAAGGAGTGTGCCACCATGACCATTTTTTTGTTTTGTTTTTTTGAGACAGGGTTTCTCTGTAACTTTGGAGCCTGTCCTGGAACTAGCTCTTGTAGACCAGCCTTGAACTCACAGAGATTATTATCTCAACGATTTTTCAGGGTAGTTATTGCTGGTGACACTTCACAAACAAGCCCACAGCTACACAGAGAAACCACCCCCATCAATTAGACACAAGGTGTATTTCAATGGTTAAGAGCACTGCCTGCTCTTCCAAAGGTCCTGAGTTCAATTCCCAGGAAACCACATGGTGTCTCACAACCATCTGTAATGAGATCTGGCGCCCTCTTGAGGAAGAGACCAGGTCAGTCGTCCTCATCAACCTAGACCATGTCCCAATATGGTCAAGTTCAAGACAGCTGCCTTATATGGGCTGCCCATGCCTGCTTCCCATACATGCTTCCCTTGCAGGCTTCCCATGCCTGCTTCAGCATTGCCAGGGCATTCATTTCATTTCATTCAGGAAGCTCATGCTTTTCATATTAGACTACACGGTGGACACTTTAAAATGATGTTTGTTGCCGGGTGTGTTGGTGCATGCTGCAGTCCCTGCCCTTGGGAGGCCAAGGGAGAACAGAGTTTGAGGCCATCACTCCAGGCCAGTTAGGGTTAAATAGTGAGATTCTGTCCCAAAACAAGACAAACAAACCCCAAATGGAAAACAACATAAAAAACAAGTAAAGCCCCTTAAGCCAAAAAGTTAGGTTTTTAAAAATGCCACAAAATTCTTAAAATACATTTTATAATACTTTACATGTTAACTTTTATACTTTACGTATTATATTCAAAATTTTATATTCATTTCTAAAACTGTGTAGGACAAGTTTTGAAACATAAGGATATGGCATGTACATATAAATGGCTAAAAATACTCAAGGTTTTTCTCCCATAACCTGACCCATCCCAACCCTTGGCATCACCATATGGTCACCATTACAATGCCTTTGAATTCAATAAAGAAAAAAATAATTTCACATTTTAAGACAGGTTATTTATTCTTCTTAAAAAAGATATGCTAGCCGGGCGGTGGTGGCACACGCCTTTATTTTTTATTTTTATTTTTTTTGGTTTTTTCGAGAAAGGATTTCTCTGTGGTTTTGGAGCCTGTCCTGGAACTAGCTCTTGTAGACCAGGCTGACCTCGAACTCACAGAGATCCTCCTGCCTCTGCCTCCCGCGTGCTGGGATTAAAGGCGTGCGCCACCACCGCCCGGCTTGGCACACGCCTTTAATCCCAGCACGCGGGAGGCAGAGGCAGGCGGATCTCTGTGAGTTCGAGACCAGCCTGGTCTACAAGAGCTAGTTCCAGGACAGGAACCAAGAACTACGGAGAAACCCTGTCTCGAAAATCCAAAAAAAAAAAAAAAAAAAAAAAAAAAAAAAGATATGCCAATTCACATACTACTATATTGATATTTCTTTTAAATTTTCATAAAATATAAAATAAATAACATTCCATGAAAGAATCTCCTTGATGTTTTAAGATTTAAGAAAATATTTGCTACACAAATCCTTCCAACAATTTATTGAAGAGAAAAGTACCTTTCATTTGTGCTGCTTCCCTTTCTCTGTGCTCCACCTACATAAAAAAAGTCATTTGCATTATTTCAAAATGAAGGAAATTTGTATAGTTTTTATGTTTATACATTTATACTAGTAAGAATTGCAATATTACACGTTTTGATAAAAATGTTTCTTTCTACAGTATGGAAAAGAAAACCCGAGGGCAGGGGAAAGAGACTGCATCGTCCACTCATGAGGGTGAGGCTCCTGTGGGAGCTCCACCTCCTAAGGCTTCTGCCACCTCAGGGCTGTCCCCGGAGGGCCAGTCTTCCAGCCCATGAGCCTTTGGGCGGCAGGCCACATCTAAACGTCGGCAGTAGCTCAACTGCATCTCAATTAAGCTGTTACATCCAAAACAAAGGTGTTCTGAAAATAAAGCTTTTCAAAGAGAAAGTAGATATGATCCTTGAGCTCTATTGTTTAGGATAGATTTTGGAACATTTTCTCAACAATATGACCCAAGAAATAACAACAGAAATTATACTTAGCCAATATTGAAAACTTTTATGAAACTCTGTTACAAGGGTGAAAAACTCACCAAGTGAGATTTAAAAACTGAAAAGCAGGCCAGGTGTGGTGTACACTTTTAATCCCAGCACTCTGGAGGCAGAGGTAGGTGAATATTTATGAACTCCAAAGTTCAAGGCCAGCCTGGTCTATATAGTGAGTTCCAGAACAGCCAGGGCTACATAGAAAGACCCTGTCTCAGCTGGGAGATTAAATTGAAACATACTTTGTTGTTTTATATGAGAAGGACGTGGATCTTGCCTTGGTGCGGACCACTTCTGACTGACCAGGGTGGTGGCTGCCAAAGGCTGGGGTGGCTGTGGAGGCTTTTCTCTTTTATTCTTATTACATTTGGTGTGTGTGTGTGTGTGTGTGTGTGTGTGTGTGTGTGTGTGTGTGTGTGTATGTGTGTGCAACTGTACACCTGTAGAGGACACCTTTTGGGACTTGATTCTCTCCTTTCACTGTGTGTATCCTGGGGATAGAACTAAGGTCACCAGACTGGCTTGCAAGCATCATTGCCCACTGAGCCATCTTACTAGCCCATAATTTCTTAGGGTAAGATAATGAAGGGGCTGAGTGGTGGAATGTTTGCCGAGCATGCGCAAGGCGCTAGATCAGCCCTGAACATACGCATGCTCGAGCGTGCTCGAGCGTGCACGGCCACCCCCTCCACGACCGTGTTGGTCCTCGTAGATTGACTCATCTTTTCATGTAGCACGGAGAACTTTACCTTGTTGCTACTCTGTCATCTAAGTTTATATAATATTCTGGATTCTTTGTTGTGGTTTCAACAATGTTCATAGCCTCTACCTCAGAAGTAATCCCCATCTCAAGAAGCCACTTTGGAGAGATTCTGGGTTATAGATAGAGGACTAGAAGCTGCCTCAGTGTGACCAAGTGAAGAAGAATAGTGATGTGTAAACACAGTGTGTTCCAAAGACGGGAGGTGAGGGAAGAGCTTCAGAAACCCACAAGAGGAGAGCTAGCACAGTAGTGGAGGGCAGAGAACCAGGAGGAGGAGGCAGCAACAACAAGGCCAAGTCCAACACAGTCACCCAGGGGTCCTGCTGAAAAGCCACTGGCTTCCCTACTCACAGGCCACGCCCACAGCGCCCACAAACCTTAAAACTGGAGGCTTCTTTTATGGGATGGGTCAGCAATGGGAAGGAATGGGTTGTCATCTTTAGAGAGGACGAACTGTTTAAAACCGAACTGCCGTGTGGTCTAATTATGTCAGCCAGCCTGAATTCAACCTGTCACAGCCCCAGCCTGAGAGACAACTGTAGAGTGTGGGGGGGTACGCACACGGAGAAGCCCCAAGTGCAGGCGTCGGCTAGCTCCACCATTGATCACCGGGAGCAGGTGTCATCGATAGAACTTTGAAGTCAGCGGGTGAACCAACTCCTGGAGTCACCTCTCTGCTGCAAGGGTAACTGCTGTACAGTAGGGGGCGCTTTGGAATTACAGCTAACACTTCTCTAGAGGACCCAGGTTCCCAAGTCCTCTAGACATATTATGTATATAGTATTCTTGGGATTCTGTCTCCATGTATCCCTGCAGGCCAGAAAAGGGTACCAGATCTCGTTACAGATGGTTGTGAGCCACCATGTGGTTGCTTGGGACTGAACTCAGGACCTTCGGAAGAACAGGCAGTGCTCTTAACCACTGAGCCATCTCTCCAGCCCAATTTTTCTGTTCTTTTAAAAACTTTATCACCCTTCAAAATATAAAAGAAAACCAGCTCTCCTATTGTATGAACTTTTGGTTTGGGTAATTTAAAATTTGGTGCCAGGATTATTATTTTTTTTTTTTTTGAGACAGGGTTTCTCTGTAGCTTTGGAGCCTGTCCTGGAACTAGCTCTGTAGACCAGGCTGACCTAGAACTCACAGAGATCCGCCTGCCTCTGCCTCCTAAGTGCTGGGCTTAAAGGCGTGTGCCACCACCACCCAGCCTCATGCTTTTGTATCTTAAACTAAAACATAACAGTGGATATATTAGCCTCCTAAAAGAAAGATAACTTGCTGGTAACATGGTCCACGGATCTCCAAGGAGACTTCTTTAAAACACGACACTCTACCTGTGGTTGAGGTTGGCCAGTGTGAAAGTTTCGGGAAATGAAAACAGACTGAGGTTTAGCTTTCTGTTTGTATAGTCTTTGTTTCAGCTTTTCATCAATTGATTTAATGTTGGGACTTCGAAATAATTCCCTGGAAAACATTGTACAGAAAACATTATAACACAGGAATCAGATTATATGATTATATATGCTTACTGAGATATTGTCTCTAACATTATACATAGGAGTTTGAAATCAGCATGTTGTAGACCTTTAAAAATAGCAGTTTTTACACTTAACATAGATCTGATTTCATTATGTCTACTTGCCATAAAGTATAAACTAGCTAATTATAGAAAGTTAGCATTTACGGTTTGAATATTGCTGAGTTACTTATATACTTCCTTTTGGTTATGAGATAATCAACTTCATTGCTAATTAGTCTTTTCTTTTTTCTGTCTTTTTCCTCTTTCTTTCTTTTCTTTCAATTGTTTTGAGACAGGGTTTCTCTGTGTAGCTCAGGCTGTTCCAGAAGTCTCTTTGTAGATCAGGCTGACCTCAAATTCAGAGATCCGCCTGCCTCTGTCTCCCCAGTGCTGGAATTAAAGGCGTGTGCCACCGCTGTCCGGCCAGTCTTATTCTTTTAACTCAAGCCTCAGACTAAACAAAAGTTCCTGGCACATGCCTCCCTTGTAGACTTTATATGTTTGCTCATTAATCTGTCTCCTGTCAAGTCTTGGAAACAAGAACTTTTTCTGCCTTGTTCACAGTTGTACCCTCAATTCCAATAACAGTAGAAGATCGCTAACAAATATTTCCCTTTATTATTTACGTTTGATTGTGCGTATATTGAATATTTGTTGAAACAATGAAGAAATGAACACTTTCTGACTTGAACATGGTGGAAAGACAGCCACTGAGGTCAGATCACTGGGAGAAAAATGTGGGAAGTGATCTCACAATTTATACTTTTAAAATACCAGAATGCAAATTCTGAACTGGTTAATTAAGTAGGAACACTAAAGTTTAGAGCTGAAAATAAGAAGGCATTAGTTTGTCTTTTGTGGGTTCCTGGGGGGAGAGCATTTTCAGACCACATCAGGCCGTTATGTCAGTTCTCTTAGCTCCTAGAAAGGGGGTTTTTGCTCTTCAGTCTTGTCTTAACCTCCAAACTGGAAGGGTCCCCCTTAATTTCTAGCTTTAGATTGTAATCAGACCCATGTCTTCCAGTAAGTAAAATAGGGACTTGTTATTCCTCAAATTTCTCAGTGCACAAAGAGCACTGTTGTATTGCTCTGGTCCTTCTATAATGCACACGTTTCCAGCCACAGCGTCTAACCAAGCCCCAGATTATAGAATCAATTCCATCATAATGACTTAAATTTAATAGCCATGGAAAGCCCTTAATTGAATTTTTAACAACAACAAAAGACTTAGACAAACCTTCTAGTAAACCTTACCTTCGTTTGCAAATCAGGAACCACAAAGCAGATGACAAAGCTAAGAAACCAATTCCCAGACTAATGGCACCAGCAGCCAGAAAATAGGTTAAGAAGTTAATAAAACCTATACAAATAAATAGTAAAATATCATTTCATGTACACATCTCAGTTCTCTAGGTAAATAAATGAACTGATAGTTACAATGATATAACATATGTAATATTAAGACTGACAAAGAAATCAGGGAACCTGAATTCTTGTCCTATACAATCCAAGTAAACAGGAAGACCCAGAGTTAGAAAACAACACAGGACGCATCATAAGTAGAACTGGGAAAGCCTGCAGGGATCTCACTTTAGAGGTGGCAAAATTGAAGCCCATGTAACAGAGGTAACGGAACCAGAGCTGTACAGCAATTGACACCAATGTTCTGATGGTTTTCTATTTGCTTTGCTAGCAAACATCTGCCAGCACTCCCCAGGCAGCTCACACCATCTGTAAACTCCAGCTCAAAGGGTCCTGTGCATCTGGCCTCCAAAGCTACCTGTCGCACCTGCACATACCCACAGGTAGGAACATACACATCTAGATAGAAAAGAGAAAAATAAACCTTTAAAAAAACATTATTTCTTTTAGGGCTGAGCATAGTGGGACATATCTTTAATCCCAGAACTCAGCAGGCAGAGGCAGGCCACTCTCTGTGAGTTTGAGGCCAGCCTGGTTTACATAGTGAGTTCCAGGACAGCCAGCATTATGTAGAGACACCCTGTCTTAATAAAATAAAATTAAAAAAACTTGAAGTTTACATGTATTTATTTATTTAGTGGGTTTGGTAATGGGTCCTCAAAGAATAAATTAGAATATTATGATTAAAATAAAAAATAATAAGGAAAATGAAAAATAATATAAACTGTTGACAGGGGAACAGGGATCTGAAGTCTCGTTCAGTGCTGGAGGGAATACGATTTGGGGAAGCTCTGGGAAACTGGCTCCATTAGCAAGCTGAACAGGTGCACAGCTGGCAATTCAGCATTTCCTCCAATGGGCGCACACACAACTCAAGTCCACATATGTGCCAATGAAATCTGTAGCGGGGTGTTTAGAGCAGGGTGATTGGAGTTAACCCAACACATTTGGGAAATGCACAAAAAAAAATGTCAGTGGCCGAATGGATAAACTTAAAGACAGAATTGATGAAAAGAAACAAATATCCCAGGACAATGGGGAAAGAATGAACTATAACCGTGCACAGCAAGATAAACTTCACAGGTAAAACTCTGGGCAGCAACAAACATTCAGACACAGATATCAAAGGAAGCGTGGCAATGCTGAGTGTGTTCTGTTTCTTGACTTAGGTATGAGCACACACATGCACACACACACGTGCACATACACACACACACACACACACACACACACACACACACACACACCACACCACACATGTATTGAGACTTTAGCAACCTCAGCACTCAATACTTAGCAATATATCAAATTTATGATGGGCATTATCTGTGGGTGAGCAGGAGAAATACACACTGATTTTTCAGTGTTCTATCCTTCAAATGAAACACAGTTGCTATGATAAAAATGTTCATTTAGGAGATTGCATGGGTATTTGTTATTGTCTTTTTTTTCTACTTCATTCATTTGATTTTTTTCTCTACTATTTAGAAAGTATAAAAATAGGATGTTCTAAATTTTGAAATAAAAAGAAAATATTTATATAAGCAAAAATATCAATGGGCTGTTACTGGGAACAGGCTTATAGGAACTTTTCTATACTATCGAATTTCTTCCAGTGGTAGAGGGCTTGCCTTGTATAAGTAAGGTCCTGGGACAATCTCCAGCAATAGAAAAAAATTGAGACTCAGGGGAAAAGTAATAAAATTGACAAGTTTATAGTAATCTTATAGCCAAGTGAAAAAATTGAAGCATAAATTAATATATTAAAAATGAAGAAAGAAGTCGGGCGGTGGCGGCACACACCTTTAATCCCAGCACTTGAGAGGCAGAGGCAGGCGGATCTCTGTGAGTTCGAGACAAGCCTGGTCTACAGAGCTAGTTCCAGGACAGGCTCCAAAGCCACAGAGAAACCCTGTCTTGAAATACCAAAAAAAAAAAAAAAAAAAAGAACACAGTTAAAAACACAGCAAAAGTGGGAAATAAGAAAATGCTATCAAGTTCACTGTGTTCTGACTGATAGTGAGGTCTTTAATCCATTTGGACTTGAGTTTTGTGCATGGTGATAGATATGGGTCTATTTTCATTCTTCTACAGGTTGACAACCAGTTATGCCAGCAACATTTGTTAAAAATGCTTTCTTTCTTCCATTGTATACTTTTGGCTCCTTTATCAAAAATGAGGTGTTCATAGGTTTGTGGGTTAAAATTCGGGTCTTCTATACGATTCCATTGGTCGACTTCTCTGTTTTTATGCCAGTACCACACTGTTTTCATCACTGTAGCTCTGTAATAGAGTTTGAAGTCAGGGATGGTAATGCCTCCAGACAATCCTTTATTGTATAGGATTGTTTTGTGAACCTGATAGAAGAGAAAGTGGGAAGTACCCTACAGGAGATGGGCACAGGAGATCGCTTCCTATGTGTAACCCCAACAGCACAGACTTTAAGGGCAACATTGAATAAATGGGACCTACTAAAACTGAGAAGCTTCTGTAAAGCAAAGGACACTGTCACCAAGACAAATAGGCAACCTACTGACTGGGAGAAGATCTTCACCAACCCCGCAACAGACAAAGGTCTGATCTCCAAAATATATAGAGAACTCAGGAAACTAGACTTTAAAATGCTAATTAACCCAATTAAAATATGGGGCACTGAACTGAACAGAGAATTCTCAGCAGAGGAAGTTCAAATGGCCAAAAGACACTTAAGGTCATGCTCAACCTCCTTAGCAATCAGGGAAATGCAAATCAAAACAACTTTGAGATATCATCTTACACCTGTCAGAATGGCTAAAATAAAAAACTCCAATGATAGCCTTTGCTGGAGAGGCTGTGGAGGAAGGGGAACACTCATCCATTGCTGGTGGGAATGCAATCTGGTGCAACCACTTTGGAAATCGGTGTTTCGGTTTCTCAGGAAATTCGGGATCAACTTACCCCTGGACCCAGCAATACCACTCCTGGGAATATACCCAAGAGATGCCCTATCACATGACAAGAGCATTTGTTCAACTATGTTCATAGCAGTATTATTTGTAATAGCCAGAACCTGGAAACAACCTAGATGCCCTTCAATGGAAGAATGGATGAAGAAAGTGTGGAATATCTACACATTAGAGTACTATGCTGCGTTAAAAAACAATGACTTCTCAAATTTTGCATGCAAATGGATGGAAACAGAAAACACTATCCTGAGTGAGGTATCCCAGAGCCAAAAAGATGAACATGGGATGTACTCACTCATAATTGGTTTCTAGCCATAAACAAGGGTCACGGAGTCTACACTTGGTGATCCCAAAGAAGCTAAGTAAGAAGAACCTTCATCTGGTGATGGATGGAGACAGAGACAGAGACCCACACTGGAGCACTGGACTGAGCTCCCAAGGTCCCAATGAGGAGCAGAAGGAGGGAGAACATGAGCAAGGAAGTTGGGACCACGAGGGGAGCACCCACCCACTGAGACAGTGGAGCTGATCTATTGGGAGCTCACCAAGGCCAGCTGGACTGTGACTGAAAAAGCATGGGATAAAACTGGACTCTCTGAGCATGGCGAACAATGAGGGCTGATGAGAAGAACCCAAGGACAATGGCACGGGGATTTGAACCTACGTAATGTGCTGGCTTTGTGGGAGCCTAGCCAGTTTGGATGTTCACCTTCCTAGAAATGCACGGAGGAGGGAGGACCTAGGACTTACCACAGGGCAGGGAAATCTGACTGCTCTTTGGGCTGGAGAGGGAGGGGGAGAGGAGTGGGGGGAGGGGGAGAAGGGTGGGAGGAGGGGGAGGGAAATGGGAGGCTGGGAGGAGGAGGAAATTTGTTTTTTTTTTCTCTTTTCTCAATAAAAAAAAAGTTAAAAAAAAAGAAAATGCTATCAATAATAAACACTAATAAATTTAAAGTTTACTTAAAATACAGAAATATCCCCCCCCCCCCCCGAAAATGATTTCTACAAAGCGAATGAAGAAGTGACAGAACCTGCTGGTCAGCGCTCCAACAGGGAATGTTCCCGAGTCCTGCGGACTTTCTGATTGAAATGCGGCTAGTACCAGCCCCACAAAAGCGAAGGGCGACGACTCTTGTCTGCCGCGGGAAAGGCGGTATGATCAGAAACTGAGTGGCTGCGATGGACAGACTAAGACTATGTTCCGCAGAATGGTTAAAACCGCACGAAGATTGTGCTGAGCCTGTCTGCAGGTCTATGAGAGCACTGGCGAGTAAGAGCCCTGTGAACCGGAGGCTAAGAGAAAGGAATCCAGTTCTAAGATGACTTTGTTAGGAAGACAATAAAATCAGGAGCTTTTACTCAAAATAAGAAGAAAGGGAATTAAAAAAGAAAGAAGTCACAGAAAACCCAAGGGAACACAAGTTCATTACATTGACTCAACAGTTACAAACTTCCCCCAAAGAAACTGATGGTCCCCAAAAGGTTACAATTTCTACTGTATACCCATGCTAGCATTTCTTATCTTATACAAGTTCTTCCAGAGAACAGAAAGACATTGCTGGCGGTTCCTCCAAACACATTTTCTTCTTTGTGGATAAAACTAGTCTGTCTCAGCTTCCCATACCATTAGGTGAAACAGTATGACAGAGTTCTGACCAATGGAAGCAGAGGGCAATGATGTCATAAAAACCTTCTGCAGCTCCTTCTTGGTGACTGTTGTGGACAAGGTGATCTCCAAGGGAACCGTGGAAGTTGCAGGTCGATAGCACCTCCATCAGTCTACCGGATCTGACCACCATCATAGGGAAATTCAGCCTCCCAAAATCTCATATTCTGTGCAGGGGCATGTTCTGTGTTTTTCAATATAGAATATAGAGAAACAGTTGAAAGTCAGTAAATGGAAATGATACATTTTGAAACAACCTATGGGCAACAAGAAGTTTTAAGGAGGGCTGGAGAGATGGCTCAGAGGTTAAGAGCACTGCCTGTTCTT